TATACGGTCTCTCTCCCGTGTGGGTTCTCCCATGTTTAATAAGGTATGAGATCTGACTGAAAGTTTTCCCACAGTCCAAGCATTTATGGGGTTTCTCTCCTGTGTGGGTTTTCTGATGTATATTAAGGGCTGATTTCACACTGAAACTTTTCCCACATTCAAGACATTTATAGGGTCTTTCTCCTGTGTGGATTCTTCCATGTTTAGTAAGTGATGAACTTTCAATAAAACCTTTCCCACACTCAAGGCATGTAAAGGGTCTTTCTCCCGTGTGTATTCTCCTATGTTTAATGAGGGATCGATTTTCCGTAAAATTTTTCTCACACTCAGGACATTTATAGGCTCTTTCTCCTGTGTGGATTCGCCCATGTCGAATAAGGGATGAACTTTCCATAAAACTTTTCCCACACTCAAGGCATTTATAAGGTCTCTCTCCTGTGTGGGTTCTCTGATGTGTAATAAGCTTTGAGCTCTGACTAAAACTTTTCCCACACTCAAGGCATTTATACGGTCTCTCTCCTGTGTGCACTCTCTGATGTATAATGAGTTGTGACTTCTGAATGAAGCTTTTCCCACAGTCCAAGCATTTATAGGGTTTCTCTCCTGTGTGGATTCTCAGATGATTATTAAGTTTCGTTCTGTCAACAAAACTTTGCCCACAATTGAGGCATTTATACGGTTTGTCACCCGTGTGGATTCGCTGATGCTTAATAATGTGTGAGCGCTGACTAAAAGTTTTCCCACAGTAAAGGCATTTATATGGTCTCTCTCCCGTGTGGATTCTCCTATGTTCAATAAGGTATGAGTTCTGACCAAACGTTTTCCCACAGTCCAAGCATTTATGGGGTTTTTCTCCCGTGTGGGTTTTCTCATGTGTATTAAGGGTTGATTTCACACTGAAACTTTTCCCACACTCAAGGCATTTATATGGTCTTTCGCCTCTGTGGATTTTTTCATGTTTAGTAAGGGATGAACTTTCAGTAAAACCTTTCCCACACTCTATGCATTTATAGGGTCTCTCTCCCGTATGGATTCGCCCATGTTGAATAAGGGATGAACTTTTGCTAAAACTTATCCCACAGTCAAGACATTTGTAGGGTTTCTCTTTATTGTGACTTGTCTGCTGGTCTGTGACTTCCTTGGGATCCTTGCATCCTCCACCACATGGAATGGATTCATCCAGTTTCTTCATGGGATAGTTTCCCAGTTGCATCTCTGATCTGTGTCTATCTCCCCAGGCATTTCCCTGCTCCAAGCACTGGGAAAAATTCCCTTCAGCAATTCTCAAAAACCTCTCCTGCGATTTCACTTTCTCAGGACCTTCCTGCTGCTGATTCTTCTCCTTCTTCTCACTCACTGTCCTATCACCTGCTGGGAGAGAGAGAATCCAGACAGGAGTCACTATCTGTGCCGGGGAGACAGGACAGAAAGGGGAATAGCAAAGAGGGAAAACACAACACAGTGACTGTTGGGGAGATGGAGACATTGGATTCTGCCTCCACATCCCGCCCAAACACTCCCAGGGAAGGGAAGTCAGGGAGGAAATTCCCGACAGCTAACAGGATGGGTGGGAAGCTCTGACTGATATTTGCCTTGATGATACAACACCTGCCTGTGTTCCCTGTAAGCTGCAGGCTTGGGCTGCCACGAAGGAGAGATTCAAATGCAATCACAGCCGGCAACATGTGTTCAGGTGCCCCTCCCCACAGGTTGCTCCATCCTGCAGATGCTCCCGGGATCCTCCTGCTGGCTGTGCAGAGCAGGGGGTGGGAGGGTGCTGATGTCAGGGTGTCCCCCTCCCCGTGTACCCCATCTCCGCAGAGCAGGGTAGAAGGGACAGCCTGGCTCAGGAGGACTCGGAGCTGCTACGGCCTGAGGTCTGAATGGTGGTGGGTGACTGAGTGCCTTTCTTAAAGAGACAATGCACTGTTTCTGAGATTTCCCCAGCAGTCAGCTGACTCTCTCTCTCCTCCCCCCCTCCCCTACCCATGTACCACATCTCTGCAGAGCAGGGGAAGGCAAACAACAGGGCTCAGGACAGAGCAGGAAAGCTTTCAGTGAGTGTCTTAAAGAGACAGCAAACTGCTTTCCCCAGCAGCCAGCACACACACGGTCTCTGTGTCACACACACACAGTCTGTGTCACTGTCTCACACACAGTCTCTGTGTGACACTCACCTCCCAACACATACTTGTATTATTGTTGATATTATTTCTTGGTACTTCCTGCAGTGCATAAATATTCTCTGTAATTTTATTCTTTCATATTGTTATTTTAGTGGTGTTGACTGGTCTATGCATTTCATAATTTTTATTTCTTTTACACTTAAATTTAATTCTTTGAGTAGTGAGTTCCAAAATGCCTAACCTGTCCTGGCTGGACTAATTAGCCCTGTGGTAACTTTTAAAAAATATACATATTATATCTAGGTTTTTTGTTTCTACTGGTGGTGCACATAGACATATCTCGGTGCACACAACATTTATTCTGCACATGGATGGAAAAAATTAGAGGGAACATTGCGTGCTGACTGCAGCCCTGACCTGGGTGAGATGGGGCAGAACTGAGGGCTCTTGCTCACGGCACATTTTGGGAGTCCCAGCTTTTTCCTTCACTCGCCAGATGTTTCTGTGTCAGTTTCCCTGACTCCTCACCTGTACAGGTGCCTCTCAGGCTCTCCCTTTCCTTGGCATTCTGGAGATCCAAGACCCACGGCTCTTCCCCTCGTTCCAGCCGGGCGATCAGGTCCGGTTTGGGAATGGGGAATCCTGCGCAGGGGGTGAAATCAGGCAAGGTCAGGGTGCGGGGAGTCTTGGTAGATTATTTGTCACAAGGAACCCGTGTTCCCTGTAAGCTGCGTGCTGGAGCGGCCACCCAGGAGTGATTGAAGTGCCGCGCAGTTGATTAGGCTCCAGAGCCGCTCACATCCAGCAGGCAGTGTGGATTCAGGTGCTCCCCTCCCCCAGGCCCTGCAATGCAGCCCTCTGCCTTTGAGCCCCTGTGGCTCCTGGGACCCTCCTGCTGGTTGTGCAGAGCAGGGGCAGGGGAAAAGGGGTGCTGATGTCAGGGTACCCCTTCCCCCCGCCCCTGTACCCCAGCAGGGGAGACGGAACAGCCTCGCTCAGCACTCTCAGCAGGAGAGGGTCTGAGATCTGAACCCCACACAGAGTCTGCTTCCCCAGCACCCAATCTCTCTGTATGTCTTCACACACACACAGAGTCTCTGTGTCTCTGCATGCACACACATACAGTGTCTCCACAGTCTGTGTGTTTCCACACACCCCCCCACAGTCTGTGTGTCTACACGCACACACACACTGTCTCCACTCGTGCACACACGCAGAGTCAGTGTGTGTCTGCATGCACACACACGCACGCAGAGTCTGTGTGTGTCTACACGCACCCACACACACTCAGGGTGTGTGAGTCTGCATACACACACACACAGCATTTGTGTCTGCATGCACACACACACACACAAACATGCACGCAGAGTGTGTCTACACACACACACGGTCTCTACACACAGTCTGTGTCTCTCTACATGCACACACACAGTGTCTCTACACACACACACACACACTGACACACAGAGTCTTTGGGTGAGTCTACACATGCACACACCCAGTGTTTGTGTCTATACACACACAGAGTCTGTGTATCTCCACACACAGTCTCTACACACATACACCCAGAGTCTGCGTGTCTCTATATACACACACACACAGTCTGTGTGTGTCCATGCACACAGTCTCCACACACACACGGAATCTGTGTGCCTACACACACACGGAATCTGTGTGCCTACACACACACACACACAATGTGTCTCCACAAACACACACAGAGTGTCTCCACACCCACTTACAGACAGAGTTGGTGTGCTTCGACACACACACGCACTGTGTCGCCACACAGAAAGAGTCTGTGTGTCCCTGTGTAACATGCACAGTGTCTCCACAAACACACACATAGTCTGTGTGCCTGCATACGCACACACCGTGTCTCCAGACACACGCATGCATGCCGAGTCCGTGTGTCTTTACACACACCACACAAACACACACACATACACGGAATCTTTCACACTCACCTCTCAACACATACTTGTGTTATTGTTGTTTATTATTACTCCTTCATATTTCCTGCAATGCACATATATTCTCCTTAATTTTATTCTTTCAAAGTGTGTTATTGTTTTGACTGGTCTATGCATTTCATAATTTTTATTTCTCTCTTACATTTAAATTTAATTCTTTGAGTTGTTAGTTCTAAAATATCTAACCTGTCCTGCCTGGAGTAATTATCCCTATGGTAACTTTTTAAAAATATATATTATATCTAGATTTTTTGTTTCTACTGGTGATGCACATCCGCACATAACAAAATATATTCCCCACGTGGATAGAAAAAATTAGAGAGAACATTGCAAGGAACATTCCCTGAGTTTAAACTGACCCGACATGGGACTGTGGTAACTCAGACCCCTTGGGAGCAGCAGGGATCTGAGGGCGCGGAGGTGTTGTTACACCCTCACTAGGAGGTCTCAGGATAGGTGCACTCTCGGGGACTTACTTTCACACACAGCTCGGGTGTTCAACTCCTGCCTATTTCCAAGCCTGCATGTAGGGGACAGGTTGTGGAAGCTTGGCGAGGAGCTAAGTGGCGGAGTGAGTATGTGACTGAATGCGAGCGGAAGACGCAGGCTGTGTAGTTGAAGGCCATGCAATGAACTTGTTCGACAGACCCTGCCAAAATGTAGTGTAGTGATAGTTCAGCATGTTTTTGTCTGTAAACAAGTTAGCTTATATAATGAGTACGATTTATGAATGAAATGAATGTAGCCAGCTGTTGACCCCATGTAACCTTGAGATAAGCACGGGGGGATACAGCATTGCAGCAGACTCCCTTCAGTGGAGTCCTGCCTGGCCAGCTGTCCCGGACGGTCAGAATCCCCCGCAGCCCCTCCGCGCGCCTCAGGGACTCCCGGCGCAGCTTGGAGCGTAAGTTCTTCCTTCAGTAAAGCCTTGCTTTTTACTCTCAGGCACCGAGTGTCATTCTTTCGCCGGTATCACGGCCCCCCTTGTGGGCACACTGCAGAATCTAGAGTCCTCCCCACGGATGGAGCAAGGCGAACGGTGTGTGAAGGAGAAATAATACAGGCAGGACAATACCCTGCTTCTGGCCCCTGGACAGCTGGTAAGAGAGGGATGATTTAGTCTGTCCATTAGGTTTCTGACTCTCCTGTTCCCTTGAATGGGGTATAGAGATCTCACCCTGGAGCTCTGGACTACGCAACCCTCCTCCTCTAATCTAACTGAGCAGGGAAGAACCTGACCAGAGTCAGACACGCAGACCCCACGGCTTCTAATAGCTGAGGCTCAGGAATTCCTTACCCAGCGAGGTCACCGTCTCATAGTTCTGCTGCATGACGTCCCTGTAGAGGGCTCTCTGAGAGGGGTCCAGCAGAGCCCCCTGCCCCTGGGTGAAATACACAGCCACCTCCTCGAAGGTCACCGGCATCTGAAACAACAAGAGTCCCCCACTCACCACCTGCTGCCCCAGCCACAATCCCACTATTCGTGGGGGAGGAGGCCCAGAAAAGCAGAATCCCACTCGCACCCTGCTCAGAGCAGCCAAGAGGCTTCAGGGGGTGGGGAGAAGGTGAGAACTCCTTGTCCCTCCCAGCTAGGATGACCAGACAGCAAGTGTGAAAAATCGGGATGGGGTGGGGGGTAATAGGAGCCTATATAAGAAAAAGACCCAAAAATCGGGACTGTCCTTATAAAATGGGGACATCTGGTCACCCTACTCCCAGCACACGGAGCAGGGCAGGGTCTTCTCATTTCCCACACGCCTGCCAGCCACAGGCTGATGCAGGAAGCAGAGCTCTGAGCCGGGGACAGGAATCCCGAAAGCTTCCCTTCGTATTTCACAGCAGCCTCTGGCCAGTGGGTTCAGGCCCAGCACTGGGCATCTGATCTGCCCAGGGGGGTGTTTCCTGTTTCAGAAATGGGGGGATGTTCCCGCCCTCACTAATGGCGCCCTGTTCAGAAAATTCCCGCCCTGTTCAGAAAATCAGGCTCCAAGTTGAATGTGTCCGAGCGGGTTTTTCACACCCTCTGCCCTGCCTGTGTGTTTCTTGCCGCTCCCCCTCTCCAGCAACTGCCCCTGCAGTTCCCTGAAAATCCCCTGCCTGAGCTGGCTCCATCACAGCCATTTCCTTTCCCTGTCCCCTGGATCTGGAGCGAAACGTGGACGTGAGTCTTCAGCCTGTCAGGGCGAGAGGGGCGATGGGGGAAGTTACAGAAGGGGCTTGAGTCCATTTCACACCCCGATTCTCTGCAGACAGACGCTCTGCTCTCTGCCATGCTGGGAAAACCCTCAGTCACTTTATTACAACACAACCCCGGCCCCTCCCACCAGCACTGAACCCCTGAGACACTTTTAACCCCCCCAGGGACAGAGTCACTAAGACAAATGCTAGAAAAGAGCAGAATCAAAGGAACCACGTGGGAGATTCCCCCTGAGGAGGGCAACTCGTCCAGCTCCTCCTCTTGTTCCCAGGAGAGTCAGTCTCCCTGTGTCACTGGGGGGAGCAACTCTGGGACCTGCAGACACCTGGGGAGCCCCTCCCCCTCTCGTACAAACTCACCAGCTGGTCCCTGAAAGGGGCCCTTTGTGCAGAGTCACTGTCCTGACCGGCCCAGGCCCTTTCCCCATCACCTGAAGATCTCTGACTCAGGAGCTGGTGTCAGCAAAGCCTGGGGATGCCCCAGGGGGCTAGTTCCAGATCCAGAAAAAGTGCCCACCTGGGCTGGGCACAGAGCGGGGGGTTAATGAAGGTCTGTCCCTGGCACAGCCCCAGCTGGGGAGCAGCAGTTTCCCAGTCTGGGCTCTCAGGCAGAGGAAGCAGCAGCATCTGACCCAGGCAGCTCAATTCAAGGGCTCTAATATGAGGAGCAGAGAGAGACACGCACCAGCCTCCTCCTCTCCCTGAGCAATAACCGGAGCCCTCTGGTGGAAGCAGCTAATGACTGAGCCTCCCTGTGCAACCTCTGCAGCCCCCGGGACAGGCAGGCAGAGGCTGATCCCATTGGCCCATCCGCACTCACCCCCTGCAGGGGCGGCTCCAGGCACCAGCGCACCAAGCGCGTGCCTGGGGCGGCAATCTGTGGGGGGCGGCCTGCCGGTCGCTGTGAGGGCGGCAGTCAGGGAGACTTTGGCGGCATGCCTGTGGGAGGTCCGCCGGTCCCGCGGCTTCGGCGGCAATTCGACGGCAGGTACACCGAAGCCACGGGACCGGCGGACCTCCCACAGGCATGCCACCGAATCCACGTTACCAGCCAGATCTCCCGCAGGCACGCCGAAAGCCGCCTGACTGCCGTGCTTGGGGCGGCAAAATACATAGAGCCTCCCCTGACCCTCTGGCAGAGCCAGCAGTGACTCCGGTCAGACACCGGTGTGGCTGAGATGCGAAACCTGCCCAGAAATCAGACCAGGGCCCTGGGCAGCCCCATACACTCAGAAGACAGACCCCAAAATCATGAGTGTGTCTGAAAATAATACACTGGGAGCAGGTGTGTGGGTGTCTGGATATTTGCCTTGTAGCTTCTGAGGCCTTAAGCAAAGTCTCCACCTACCCCCAAAGCACCACTGATTATTTGCGGTAAAAGAATTCCCCTCTGGCTGCTGGGTGGGACAGCCCCTCACTCTCTCCTGCCCCATGGGGTGGGGGAGCTGCCCTTGTATCTCTCCCTCTCATTCTCCCTGACCCCTACCCTGTTTCTCTCCCTTCCCCAGCCAGTCTGCTCTTCTTCTCAGTCTCCCCCCAGCCTCCCCTCCCCACAACTCCCCTTTCCTTCGCAGTGACCCCCCACTCAGTTTCCCTCTATTGCAGCCTTGTTCCCATCTGCCCTATAAGTCTCCCCTGATTGCCCCGCATCGCCACATCCTGCCCTCAGCGCTCCCCCGCCCCCATCCCATCCTGCCCCCTAAAATCCTCCCTTCCCTGACACCCCCCCCGACCCTCTTCAGTCCCCTGCCGTGTGTCTGTCCCAGTCCCAATCCCAGCCCCCAGCACGGCCCGGGCTGGCTCCCCCCGCCCCGCACACACCGGGAGCTGGCGGCAGCTTTCCCAGGCCCAGGGCAGGAATCGCAGCCAGCTCCGCTGGGAGCAGCCTGGGGCCAAACCTCCCCCTGCAGCCCGGGGGTGACGGGGGGGGGCGAGTCTCTCTTACCTTCCCTCCGAGCGGGGCCCCCTGGGGCCGGGCCGGGAAGGGGCCTGGCCGGGCTGGGGGCTCTGCCCTGGGAGAGGCTCCTGGGGAGCAGCGGGAAGGGCCCTGCTGGAGATTCCCCTCTCCCGGCTGCAGCCCGGGCTCCGGGCTCCCAGCACCAGCCGCCGGGGCTCGGGGATCTCGCCGGGAGCCAGAGTCACCGCAGCGGCTGCGAGTCACTTCCTGCTGCCGGGCCTGAGCCCAGCGATCGCTCCCCCCAGAGCCGCCTCCCAGCTGCTCCTGGGTCCTAGCGATCAACCCATCGCGCTGCGCTTCGCCTCTCTGTGTCTGGCCTCTGCTAGACTTGTAGACTTTAGGGGCAGAAGGGCCCATCCTGATCATCTACCCATGAGCTTCCCATGACCAAATTTTTGATGGCCTCAGAGTGTTGCCAGCAGCTCTGGCTGGTGGCTGCTCTGACACTTTCCCCTAAAATACTTAATTAACTTTAGGAAAAAATAAATATGCACAGAGGTCAGCGGGGGAATGGTCCCGATGTGGTGGGGAACTTTCCTGGCTTATCCACCACCCTGGTGGAATCAAACAGCAGAAGGATCTGAGTCCTCGGCTCCCACTCCCTTCACCCAGAGGCCTGCCTGCCCGCCGGGACTCCCCTTCCACTCTAGTCCCTGAAACCCCGACAAGGCTGGGCCCAGGATTCATGAGGGGCTCGATCCCCAATTGTGTTGTGATGACTCAGGACAGGGACTAGGGCATCCCCACTTCCGGAGTGCTCTGCCCACTCCAGACGCTTCCCTGACCTCTTCCCTGACCATTGCATAGAGTTCAGAACAAATAAAATGTATTAAACATTAACGAAGAAAAAAAATATGGAAAAAATGGGAAAGATTAAAGGAAAAACCATCACCGCTCTGTGGGATGAACCACAAAAGTCCTGCAAGCCCTCTTGGCTGGAGACGTCTCCCTGCACTGGTTCCTTGTGCAAGATCCCCCCTCACTCTCCCCAGCTACTCACTGCACCCAGCTCCCCTCTGCCTCAGCACTGCCTCCAGCTCGGCTCCCTGGGCTGTGCCTCTCTGGCTCTGGCTGGCGCTGCTCTGCTCTCTCCTTAGCAGCTCCCGCCCTGCTCTGGCCCCTCCAGCTCACAGAGAGGATGTGACCCCAGACTCCTGACTTCCTCATTGGCCTGTCTGCCCTGTCCATCAGGCTGACCTGGAGCATTGGCCCGTGCCCATTGTCAGTCTCTGGATCTTGAGGCCAACAGTCCCCTCACCCTGATGTACACATCAGTATCGTTATTTATTTATTGCTAGCTAGTAAGGCGGCTGCTGTGAAAAGTGATAGTTGTAAGTTTGTTCATATTTTTCACAGCCTCTCAGCTAGCTACCTGGGTGGCCAACTTGGTAATTTTTAAAAACCAGACACACCAGCAGCAGTGCTGGAATCTCTCCTGCCCCACCTCTTTCCCCCGAGGTCCCACCCTGCCCTGCCTTTCCCCACCAAGGCTCTCCCAGTAACTGGACTTTGGGTGTCCAGTCACTAGATCTGACCAGACACTGTCAGCTCCCCTTTTTGACTGGACTTTCTGGTCGAAAACCGGGCACCTGGCCACCCGAGTAGCACCCAACGTGCAATAAGTTCTGGGAACACCTTGGGGACAACTTCTGCTTTCTTATGGTGGGGGAAGTAACTGCGGGCAACTAGGTTAGACTCAGTTCTGACCAGCAGGGAGGAATTTGTTGGTCTAGATGAAATTACTGTAAGGTGGATGCACGACTGGCTGAAAGACTGTACTCCGAGTAGTTATCAATGGTCTGGTGTCAAATTGGGAGGGGAACAGCCCATACCCCAGCTCCCAGCCCTGGGGAGGGGGTCCCGCAGGTAGGTGTTGAGGGACGGCTGTCACTGCATTCTGGGATTGTGACAAGCGCCCTGACACTGACAGTGACTAACACTGCCTTCACCTTGTGAGTATCCCCTCCAGCACCCAGAACTTCACCCTCCCCCAGCTACCCTCCTCATCAGCGTCCTTTTTGGGAACCTGGAATATGGTCACCCTAGTAACAAACACAGAGTACCATCTCACCATTCTACATGCACTGGTGTTACACGCATTTCAACAGCGTAATATTCAGCAGATCATGGGTTTTCCAATGATCCCTCACCAGGCGTACTTTGTACACTATATATCATAACCATACACAAGTGGTGAGCATGGGGCACAGGGGGTTAGTTACAAGAGTGATGCAGTGTGGGACGAGTGGGGCAGAGACAGTCTCTCTTGTCCCCACACAGGACATTGCGGTAGATGGGGAGGAAGTTGTGATGCGTTCCTCCCGGGGTGCCATCTGGAACTGGGGTACCACTGAGCCCACCTGACCCACGAGCCTGGGCTTCCTATACACTGTACTGCTGTGACCAGCCTGCCAAGCCCTCTCCCAGGCTTCAGTCTGCACTTTACCAGCACACATACAGGTAGGGACACACCCAGCTGAGTTCATACAGACTCTGTGATCAGCTCTGCATGGGAAGGCACAGCTAAGGCTCCTCCCACTTCCTAAGGCGACACCCCCCTCCCCCGGAGTGTAAACCCAGCGTATACCGTCTTGCGCCGCACAAGGAACTGTACAGTGTAAGCTCATGAAATTTGCCCCCTCCCTCAATGTGGAGAGGAATAGACAACAGCTTTCTGCCCCAAGTTATAACTCCCACACACACTGTTTTAGATAAAGCAAAACAAGTTTATTAACTACAAAAGATAGATTTTTAAGGGATTATAAGAATAGCAAACAGATCAAATCAGATCATCTTGCAAATAAAGTGCAATCTAAATTCTATATACTAAGGAGATTGGATATGAGTAGCAACTTCTCACTCTAAATAATGGTTTAAGCAGGTTACAGAGATTCTTAAGGGGCCTATTGCCCTTGCTTACAGCTTAAAAACCCCAGGTATTCCTTTCACAGTCTAGAAACCCTTCTAGCCTGGCTTCAGCACTTCCCCACAGTTCAGTCCTTTTTCCTCAGGTGTTTCCCAGAGTCTCCTTTGGGCGGGGAGTCAGTGAAGAATCATGATGTCTCTCCTCTGCCTTAAATAGCTTCTGTATGTGACGGGAACCCTTTGTCTCCAAGCTTGGGTCCCTTGCCTTTCAGTGGAAAAACACTGGTTTTCCAAGATAGAGTACAGTACCAGGTGATCTAGTCACATGACCCTGCAGTGTCACAACAGCCATGACTCCAGGTTGTTTGTAGGGTCTTCAGGAAGGCTTCCTGGTGGGAGATTAGCTTCTTTTAAAACCTATTGTTCTCCCTAATGGCCCTTCCCAGCCAGCCATTTAGACTGACAATTAGAGCTGTCAATTAATTGCAGTTAACTCACATGATTAACTAAAAAAAAAGAATCACAATTAAAAAAATGAATCATGATTAATCGCAGTTTTAATTGCACTGTTAAACAATAGAATACCAATTGAAATGCATTAAATATTTTGGATGTTTTTCTACATTTTCATATATATTCTATCCTGTGTTGTAATTGAAATCAAAGTGTATATTATTTTTATTCCAACTATTTGCAGTGTAAAAATGATAAAAAGAAATAGTATTTTTCAATTCATCTCAACAAGTACTGAAATGCATTCTCTTTATTGTGAAAGTGCAACTTACAAATGTAGATTTTTTGTTACATAACTGCACTAAAAAGCAAAACAATGTAAACTTTAGAGCCTACAAGTCCACTCAGTCCTACTTGTTCAGCCAATCATTAAGACAAACAAGTTTGTTTACATTTGCAAGAGATAATACTGCTGGCTTCTTATTTACAATGTCATCTGAAAGAGAGAACAGCAGTTCACATGGCACTTTTGTAGCCAGCAATGCCAGGTATTTAAGTGCCAGATATGCTAAACATTCATATGCCCCTTCATGCTTCAGCCACCATTCCAAAGGACATGCATCCATGTTGATGATGCTCATTTAAAAAAATAGTATGTTAATTACATTTTTGATTGAACTCCTTGGGGCAGAATAGTATGTCTCCTGCTCTGTTTTATCCACATTTTGCCATATATTTCATGTTATAGAAGTCTCGGATGATGACCCAGCACATGTTGTTTGGTTTAAGAACACTTTCACTGTAGATTTGATAAAACGCAAAGAAGGTACCAATGTGAGATTTCTAAAGATAGCTTCAGCACTCGACCCAAGGTTTAACAATCCGAAGTGCCTTCCAAAATCTGATGAGGTGTGGAGCATGCTTTCAGAAGTCGTGAAAGAGCAACACTTCGACGTGTAAACTACAGAACCCGAACCACCAAAAGAGAAAGTCAACCTTCTGCTAACGGTATCTGACTCAGATAATGAAAATGAACATGCATTGGTCCACACTACTTTGGATTGTTATCAAGCAGAACCCGTCATCAGCATGGATGCATGTCTTCTGTAACGGTGGTTGAAGCATGAAGGGACATATGAATCTTTAGCACATCTGGCACATAAATATCTTGCGATGGTGGCTACACCAGTGCCATGAGAACGCCTGTTCTCACTTTCAGGTGACACTGTAAACAAGAAGCGGGAAGCATTATCTCCCACAAATGTAAACAATTTGTTGTCTGAGCGATTGGCTGAACAAGAAGTAGGACTGAGTGGACTGGCAGGGTCTAAAATTTTATATTGTTTTATTTTTGAATGCAGTTTTTTTCTATATAATATTATGTTTGTAAGTTCAACTTTCATGATAAAGAGATTGCACTACAGTATTTGTATTAGGTGAACTGAAAAATACTATTTCTTTTGTTTTTTAACAGTGCAAATACTTGTAATAAAAATAAATATGAAGTGAGCATTGTACACTTTGTATTCTGTGATGTAACTGAAATCAATATATTTGAAAATGTAGAAAACATCCAAAAATATTTAAATAAATGGTATTCTATAATTATTGAACAGTTCAATTAATCGCGTGATTTTGTTAATCTTGCGATTCATTGCAATTAATTTGTTTAATCACATGATTAATTTCATTAATCGCTTGACAGCCCTATTGACAATCTTTTGCCTAGTGGGCGTTCCCCAAGTGTAAACACATTTCTAATACAGATGCGTAGCCAATATTCCTAACTTCAAATACAAAAATGATAGATGCATACAAATAGGATAATCATAATCAGTAAATCATAACCTTTTCAATGATCTTTCACATGACCTATCTTGTATAAAATACATCATAGCTATGCTCTAATCATATCATAATAGTATCTCTGTGACGAATTGAGATGCAGCATCACAGTGAGCAGCTGGACTGTCAGGTTCCCCATCTCCCTCTGGCCTCAATGCTGGGTGTCGGCATGGTTTCAAGGCTGCCCAGGTCTTTTGATATTCCTAGCTCCCTTCTTGCCTGCGCCCAACCTCGGCATCTCAGCAATAGGGAGATGCTGCCCCTCCCCGTATCATTTTTTGAGGTGTTGTTCATGGTCCTTTAAATTTCAGGGGCAGCTTCCCACGACACTCACAATCCAATTCAAGTTTCTCTCTGGCACTGGTGCAGCAAGTTCTCAGCCTCTGCCGTCTAACTCTGAGGAACAAACCCAGCAATTTCCCAGCTCTGTTCCCCTCATCGTCTCCAGGGCTGGCTCAAGGCACCAGCTGAGCAAGCAGGTGCTTGAGGCAGCCAAGGGGAAGGGGCGGCATGTCAAGCTCTTCGGCGGCAATTCAGCGGAGGGTCCCTGTCCCTCTCGGAGGGAAGGACCTGCCTCCAAATTGCCACCGAAGAAGGTGGTGGAGCTGCCGCCGATCGTGATCGCGGCTTTTTTTTTTTTTTTTCCGCCGCTTGGGACGGCAAAAACCATGGAGCTGGCCCTGATCTTCTCCCCCTCCAAACGGTATCTCACATCACTTCAGGGATCAGGCATTAACTTCATTCCCTCTTTCAGTCTCGGGCTCGCACACTGTGAATGTATCTCACACTATCAGTGTTTGTCCTGAGAGATATTGATCACGGTCATTGTTCAAACGATACAAAAAAATCTCATGACAAAGGGTTAGATAAAGATCAAAATAAAATCTAAAAAAGGACTATTCTGGCAAATGATCATTTGTCTTGTGAAGGCCTCAATGAATCTGACCTCCATCCTGTCAAACTCAACCAATATCAAAATATGTGACCAAACGGCCTTAACGAAGAGAGAAAAACCCACAATCCAGGGTGGGCTATAAAACACTTTCATGTTCATAAAGTGAAATCCCAGAGAATCATCAATCTCAAGACTCAAAATCAGGAAAATAAATTTACCCATTTTCTTCTGAAGTGGCTAAACTGGCTTCACTTCTCGCCTCATTATTTGGTTGTATTAGTTGCAAAAGTTTTAGCATCATCATAATAAAAGAAAGAAAAAGACAAATCTTCCCATCTACAAATGATCTGGACTAGCCTAGAAAAAGCCGGGAAGCAATTTTACCAATCGATGGAAACAGGGCTATAAGATCTGAAAGGTCAAACTGTGTTTTAGGTTCAATGGGATTTCCCCACCCACTCCTAGGTCTATGACACTTTCTTCTCCAGCCCTCTGATCATAGACATCAAAACTGTGCTTCCTAAGCATGGAGAGCCAGGGACTCGGTGGTAAAGTGACACCTTAGGTGAAGGGGTAGAACGGGGACAGGATAAAACTCTCCATTGCTTGGACAGAGGCTGCTGTGTCGAGAGTGGATCGTGACGATGATGGGGGAAGGAGGGAATACCTGAGACTCACCCCATTGCCCTGAAATAGCACAGAAGCTAAAACACCACATTTTACTGCCCCTGCTCCCCATTTTTTTAGCATCTTGTTAATTCTTGTGCATAAAGGGAGAAAATGTACAAACACTACATGCTTTTCAGCATGGCCTGGTGTAATGTGAGACTATCTGGGAATGAGACAATCCGGCCCCAACGGGGGAACTCAGGGATTAGCAATCATTCTGCGAATGGGAGGGGATCAGAACAGATAAGTAAGGGTACCATTTTATTACAGAGGTCACTGAACTCAGGCAATCTGTGACTTCCAGAGACCTCTATGACTTCAGCCCATGGTGGCTCGGAGCTGTGGGGTCCCCCTGCCATTCATGGCAGTCGAAAGCTGCCCCCCAGAGCTCTGACCTGCTGCAAGCCGTGGGGTTACCCCACAGCTCCTGGCCGCAATGGGTGGCTCCCAGAGCTCTGAGTAACTGCAGGCAGCTTGGGCCCCCCATAGCTCCCTAACTGCCATGGGTTGCGGGGCACCTCCGGAGCACCGAGCTGCAGACGGCAGGGGGGAAGGCCCTCTGAGACCCAGCCAGAGCCCCCGCACCTCCCCACCCAACATGGGACCCCAGATCCCCAGCAACGATAGGTGCTGGAGCCTTCTCCCTCCCCATTTTGTCACGGATATGAGTAGTAAAAGTCATGGACAGGTCACAGGCTTCTGTGAATTTTTCTTTATTGCCCGTGACCTGTTCATGACCTTTACCAAAAATATCCATGACAAAATCTTAGCCTTACACATAAGATGCTCAAGGAGAGTTTACACTAGGAAATCTGGTGCAGGGTCACAGAGTTGTGCTGGCTAATCCTGACCACATTTCCTACCATAGACACACAGAGGCTGATGCTGCGGAAACAGAAGTGGGATCTCCAGACCTCCCACAAAGGGCCCTGTGGAAATCACTCCCTCTCAGAAATGCTGTCTCAATGCAGAGGGGGCAGGGAGAAGGGGCAGAGTGATGAGGCAGCACCTCTCTACCCCTGTGCTCTCCCTCGCCTCTTATACCATGATCCCCAAACACTCGATACCCCAGCACCCAGCTTCCCTGCTCCACCAGCCCCAACTATTCAATCCCCAGTGTCCTCCCCACAACCCATCGCCCTGGTCCTTTAATGTTTGATCCCCCAGAGCCAAGCACCCTGGGGGATTCAGGGAGGGGAGGAGTTACCAGCCCCCAGGGACACTCCCCCTGCAGGGAACAGCTCCAGGTCAGTGGGGGAGCCCAGCCCAGGGGCTGGTGGAAGATGGGGGATGAGGACAGGTGTGTAGAGTGAAGGTGGGGCCTGGCCCAAGGGTCCTTCTCCTCATCTCCATGGCAGGGGGATCCTGGTTGGGAGGGGAAGGGAGGGGGGGGAACTTCAGCCAGGCAGAGGGAGCGGCTGGAGGAGTTTCTCTGTCTCCCTTCCCCCACCTGTGGCCCATCAGCTCAGCAGCCAGAGCTGCAGCCGGGAGGAGGGGCTGATGGGGGCTTCTCCTCCTCTGCCTGGGGTTTGCTGAGACCAGGCGGAGCCAGAGGGTCACTGACCAACTGATGCTCCGCTGCTGCTGGATCCTCACCGCAGCGATGGGCAGTTGAATCCTTGGGAGCCAAACGCCCCTGATGTGTGTGGGAACGAGGAAATGGGTTTGTCACCATGGCCGGCCCCAGTCAGGTCACTCAGAGAATTTCCCTGCTGTAGGGAGGAGTCTCTGATGTCCAACATGGTGTTAGCTCCACTTGGAGCATTTTCCCCCTTGAAAACACCTCAGAGGTTTCTTCCCTGTGCGGATTTGCGGATGCCTGATACTCTGGGAGCACCAAATGAAGCTTCCCCCACATTCAAGGTTTCTCTGTTGTGTAGGTCCCTGATGTGTGTCTGCAGTCAGGCTATTCCTAGGGTGTCTCACCCTTGTGGATTCTCTGATGTTTGGTAAGCTCTGAGCTCTTACTGAACCTTTCCCCACAGTCAAGGCATTTATAAGGTGTCTCTCCCATGTGGATTCTCCCATGTTTAGTAAGGTATGAGCGCTGACTGAAAGTTTTCCCACAGTCCAAGCATTTGTAGGGTCTTTCTCCTGTGTGGGATCTCTGATGTGTAATAAGCTTTGAGCTCTCGCTAAAATCTTTCCCACACTCAAGGCATTTATAAGGTCTCTCTCCTGTGTGGGTTCTCTGATGTGTAATAAGCACTGTGCTCCGAATAAAACTTTTCCCACATTCACAGCATTGAAAAGGTCTCTCTCCTGTGTGCAGTCTCTGGTGTAGAATAAGTTGTGACTTCTCAATAAAGCTTTTCCCACAGTCTAAACATTTATGGGGTCTCTCTCCTGTGTGGATTCTCTGATGAGTGGTAAGTTTTGTTCTGTCAACAAAACTTTTCCCACAATCGAGGCATTTATAGGGTTTGTCACCTGTGTGGATTTTCTGATGCTTAATAAGGTGGGAGCGACTACTGAAATCATTCCCACACTCAAGGCACTTATAAGGTCTCTCTCCTGTGTGCAGTCTCTGGTGTATAATAAGTTGTGACTTCTGAATGAAACTTTTCCCACATTCAAGGCATGTATAGGGTCTTTCTCCGGTGTGGATTCTTTCATGTTTATTAAGGGATGAACTTTCGATAAAACCTTTCCCACACTTGGGGCATTTATAGGGTCTCTCTCCCGTGTGCAGTCTCTGGTGTTTAATAAGATAAGGCTTCCTACTGAAGCTTTTCCCACAGTCTAAGCATTTATAGGGCTTCTCTCCTGTGTGGGTTCTGTGATGTGACATAAGGTGTGACGTCTCATTAAAGCTTTTCCCGCACTCCAGGCATTTATAGGGTTTCTCTCCTGTGTGCAGTCTCCGGTGTGTAATGAAGTGTGACTTCTCACTGAAGCTTTTCCCACAGTCCAAGCATTCATAGGACTTCTCTCCTGTGTGGGTTCTCCAATGTTTAATAAGGTTTGCACTGAAACGGAATCTTTTCCCACACTCAAGGCATTTGTAGGGTTTCTCTTCATTATGTCTTGTCTGTTGGACTGTGGTTTCCTTGGGATCCTTCCATCCTCCCTCACGTTCAGTGGATTCATCCAGTTTCTTCCCGGGATAGTTTCTCAGTTGCATCTCTGATCTGTGTCGATCACCCCAGGCTTCTCCCTGTTCCAAGCACTGGGAAAAATTCCCTTCAGTTCTTCTCAAAAACCTCTCATGCAGTTCCACTTCCTCAGGACCTTCCTGCTGCTGAGTCTCCTCCATGTTTTCACTCACTGTCCTATCTCCTGCTGGGAGAGAGAGAATCCAGACAGGAGTCACTGTCTGTGCTGGGGAGAAAGGACAGAAAGGGGAATAGCAAAGAGGGAAAACACAACACAGTGACTGTTGGGGAGATGGAGACACTGGATTCTGCCGCCACATCCCACCCAAATACTCCCAAGGAAGCAAAGTCAGGGAGGAAATTCCCACAGCTAACAGGGTGGGTGGGAAGCCATGACTGATATTTGCCTTGATGATATGACGCCGCCCTGACCTGGGTGAGATGGGGCACAACTGAGGGCTTTCACTCACAGTAAGTTTTTGGGAGTCCAAACTTTCTCCTTCACTCGCCAGATGTTTCTGTCTCAGTTTCCCTCATTCCTCACCTGTGCAGGTGCCTCTCGGGCTTTCCCTTTTCTCAACAGCCTGGAGATCTGGAACCCACGGCTCTTCCCCTTGTTCCAGCCGGGGATCAGGTCAGGTTTGGGAATGGGGAATACTGCTCAGGGAGTGAAATCAGGCAAGCTCAGGGCGCATGGAGCATTGGTAAGAGTATTTGTCAAAAGGAACAATCCCTGAGATTAACCTGACCCTACAGGGGATTGTGGTAACTCAGACCCTATGGGAGCAGCAGATCTCTGAGGGCGCGGAGGTGTTGTTACACCCTCACTAGGAGGTCTCAGGGTAGATGCGCTCTGGGGGACTTGCTGACACACACACAGCTCGGGTGTTAAACTCCTGCCTATTTCCAAGCCTGCAGCACCTAGAGCCCTCCCCACAGGTGGAGCAAGGTGAACCATGTGTGAAGGAGAAATAATACAGGCAGGACAATAACCTGCTTCTGATCCCCTGAAAGCTGGAGAGATGGGGATGAATTAGCCTGTCCATTTGGTTTCTGACTTCCCTGTTCCCTTGAAGGGGGTATGGAGATGCAAGTCTCTCCCTCAATGCAGCTGTGGACAACGTGACCCTCCCCCAAATCCAACTGACCAGGGAAGAACCTGATGAGATTCAGATGTGCAGACCTCATGGCATCTAATAGCTGAGGGCACAGGAATCCCTTACCCAGCAAGGTCACCGTCTCATAGTTCTCCTGCATGACGTCCCTGTAGAGGCCTCTCTGTCTGGGTTTCAGCAGAGCCCCCTGCACCTCAGTGAAATACACAGCCACCTCCTCGAAGGTCACCGGCATCTGAAACATCAGTTCCTCCACTCAGCAACTGCAGCCCCAGCAATAATCCTACTAGTCACAGGGGAGGAGGCCCAGAAAAGCAGAATCCCACCCGCACCCTGCTCAGAGCAGCCAGGAGGCTTTAGGGGGTGGGAGAAGGTGAGAGCTCCTTGTCCCTCCAGCACACGGAGCAGGGCAGGGTCTTCTCATTTCCCACACGCCTGCCAGCCCTGGCTGATGCAGGAAGCAGAGCTCTGAGCAGGGGACGGGGACAGGAATCCCGACAGCTTCCCTTCGTATTTCACAGCAGCCTCTAGCCAGTGGCTCCAGCACTGGGAGTCTGGTCAGTTTTCCCAGCCCTGCCCGTGGGGGCGGGGGTGTTTCCTGTTTCAGAAATGGGGGAATGTTTCTCCCCGCCACTGCCAATGGACCTGTTCAGAAAATCAAGCTCCAAGTTGAATGTGTCCCAGCAGGTTTATCACACCCTGTCCCATCCCTGCCTCCCCCTGTGTGTTTCCTGCCCCTCCCCCCTAGCAAATCCCCCCTGCACCTCCGTGAAAATCCCCTACCTGAGCTAGCTCCATCACAGCCAGTTCCCTTCCCTGTCCCCTGGAAGATGGGACGATCTGGAGCGAAACACGGACGTGATTCCTCAGCCTGTCAGGGTGAGAGGGGTGATGGGGAAGGTTTCAGAAGGGGCTTGAGTCCATTTCACACCCCGATTCCCCCCAGGCTCTCTCCCTGCAGACAGACACTCTGGACTCTGCTATGCTGGGAAAAACTATCAGTCACTTTATTACAACGTAGACCTGGTCCCTCCCACCAGGGCTGAGCCCACGAGGGCACTTTTAAACCCTCCCAGGGACAGAGTCCTGTAGCCAATGATTTTAGTTTTTTGGTCATTTATTGTGTGATGTTATGATTAATTCATATGTTACGTCATATCTAATCATTTTATGTTAAATAGAGTTAAACTGTAGAATTATAAAAGTATAAGATTGATTAGTAGTAGAAGGGGATAGGTTTGCATTAGGTATCCAAGTAAGTAGGATCGAAACGCAAGGCCTGCAGGCTTAGGCTTGTAAGATTTTAGATTAGCCATATTAGGCCTTGGTGCTGAGAAATTCTGACCTAAGTACGTCACTGAAGAATGACCCGATGCCACAAGATTACGGGCAAAGATGTACCAGTGGGTAATATTGTGAAAAATTAGCCAGAAGATTAATTTTAAATCACAAAAATGTTGTAAGGGCACATCTGTTCCCAACATGTGCCTTAACCGCAGGATATAAATTGTGCGTCAATTCTAATGAGAATAAATAGCACCTACCCGACCAATAGAAATTGGGGTCCCTTGTGCTTCTGGGGGACACCAGACCAATAAGCACAAAGCGGGTTGACACTTTCATGAACGTGCGCAGAATGCAGGTATAGTCGGAATCACCATATAAAAAGAGGGTGCCCAGATTAGGAAATTTGAGTTCCCTGTAGTGTGATGGGGTGTGCATCCCCCACAGTAGCCAAGACAGGGTTAAACCCACATTATAGACAGCAAAATTCCCACCCCTAGGCTGGACTTGGGCATGCTCCAGATACTGTAGCAGTCTAGAGGGAGGAAGCCAAGCTCACTCCGGGTTGGAGGCTGGAGGGGAAGGACCTGGGCTGGACGCTCCCGCTGCGGACTGACTACAGCCACCACCTGCAGAGATCGGAGGCCCCAAGGACCGGCTTGGACCCCTGCGACCGATGGAGTTCCAGGAAGCTACATGTGCTGGAGACCCAGAAGCCTCATGGACTGCCTCACCAGAGACAGTGGCAGGAAGTGACCCAGGGCGGGTGATGGAGGGGTATCTCCCATCCGGGTAAGCTCAGCATGTTTTGGTAGGATTCCCTGCTGAGCCAGTGACTCTGGGTCCCCCCTACCTGGGCTGCCAGCCCCCCTTGCTGGTGGGTACTGGCCACTAGACCCCGTCGCCCTGAACCGAAGGGCTGCGCTATTAACTCTGGCCACTAGGCCATGCTTCCCCGGGCACTGGGGCTATCGCCTTTGCTTTGGTCCTTGGACCCTGGGCTAGCGGGGTTGGACATGGACAAGTAGACTGACCGGTGGTGTCCATGCACCCATTTCCCACCCCCTTTCGCGACGGGGTGTGCATACACCGTGACATATGGGAAAACTCCAGCAGGAACCATCCCTCCACTGATGATCAATCCATGAGAGACCCACAGACCATAACACTATCTAGGAGGATGTGAGTATAACTATGTTTGTAACTCGTCCATAGGTCTGTATGGAATTTCTATATGCCTCGGTACTCACAACTTAATGGTAACTTTAATAAAACTTGTAAACCAGACTAGACTTTGTACTTGTGAATGTCTGTGTGGTCACTGCCCTTGGTCTTTATATGTTCCTAGAGACCGTAAATCTGAAGCAAGTACCAGAGGTGACTTTTACTCCATTAAGCATGAAACTGTAGCCACCAGAGCCAAACCCACGGTGGTGTAATCCCACATTACTAAATTCACTTTAAATAAAATAAAAGGCTACAGTCTCTAAGACAAATACTAGAAAAGTGCAGAATCAAAGGCGCCATTGTGGGGGATTCCCCCTGACATTGTCCCCAAGGGCAGCGCACTCCCCCCCCCCCCCCACACACACACACACACACGCGGCGGGGACTAGGAAGGGGCAGGACCTGGCTTTTCCTCTGTCAGCTCCTCTCCTTCTTCACAGGAGAGTGAGTCGGCCCAGGGGTGATACAGGGAATGGATCCGCACAGGTCTGGGAACTGGGAACCTCCCTCTCCACTTCTTGCTCCTGTTGCCCCTTTCGGTCTCACCCCTCCCCTTCCTGTCTCCTTCCCTCTCCCCTCTGCCTGGGAGAACTGGGGACTGTCCTGTTCGCATGGGCGTTGGCTCTCCAGTGTCAGCCTGGCTGTGTCACTGAGGGCAGCAGCTCTGGGACCCGCAGGCACAGGGGAGCCCCTCCCCCTCCGGTACAAACTCACCAGCAGGTCCCTGAAAGGGGCCCCTGGTGCAAAGTCACTTGCCTGCCCGGCCCCAGCCCTTTCCCTCAGTCACCTGGAAACTCTGGCTCAAGAGCTGATGTTGGCAGAGCCTGGGGCTGCCCCAGGGGGCTAGTTCCAGGACTGTCAAAAGTCCCCACCTGGGCTGGGCACAGAGGGGGGTTAATGAAGGTCTCTCCTTGGCACAGAGCCCGCTGGGGGAGCAGCAGTTGCTCAGTCCGGGCCCCAGATCACACTGCAGGAGGCAGCTTCAACTGACCCAGGGAGCTCAATTAACTCCGGGGCACTAATATCATGAGCAGACAGAGAGAGACACCAGCCTCGTCTGCCTTAGCAATAACCAACCCTCCCCACCCCCCACCTATATGAGGAAAGTTCAGCAGCTGTGGATTTCATTTGCCCACCAGGACTCACACCAGAACAGAACCAGAATACCAGCTTGAACCGTTATGCTTAACTGAACTGGAACCAGACTTAAACCATCATTTTTCCTCTTAGTGAATCTGAATCGAACTCAGGGGGAAATGGCTACCAGTTAAAATAAAGTTTTAGCAATTTTTCAGCTCAATATTTGATCAAACAAAACCTACTCTGATCTCACGTTCATTATAAAACAAGACAACAAAACAACCCCCAGGCATGTGATCACTACCCGGCCTGTCCCAGTAGGAGAAGAGAAGGGGGCAGCCCACAGAAGCAGGGAGGAAGGGGAGAGAAGTGGGGGCTCCCTGTCCCAGAAGTTAACATTAACTCTTCAAGGCCAAGGAAAAAGGCTGCTCAATTCTTCTTCCGCTTAGACAGGCCTCCTCTCACCTGTCCCCACCCCTTGGGACAGCTCCTCCCTCCAACTGTCACAACCTGAGGCAGGCTCCATGCCCCAGATTCAGTTCCCCACTGAAGCAAGCCACAGGGCTCACTCCCAACCCCCTTCCCCCTTCTGGGGCACTGCCTGGTAACTAACCAGAACCGAACACACCGACTGCCACTGAACCCGAACCAAACCCCAGTTCCACTCCTTGCGGCTCGCAGTGACTCTGGTTGGACACCGAATCCTGCACAGAAATCAGACCAGCCCCTGTTCAGTGCTGTCAGCCCAGGAGTCAGACCCCCCGCAGATAAGGAGATTGTCTTTAAACACAAATATGAAATTGGGAGCTGGAGGGGGGGGGGAGGTTACTGGGTGGATCTTTGCCTTGTAAATTCTCAGCCCTTTGGGGGAAGTCTCCTGCCCACCCCCTACCCCTAGTGTGACCACCTTTCAAAAGGCAAAAGTGGGACACATGCAGGACCCCTGCCCCCTTTCCCCAAGGCCACGCCCCCTGCTCCACCTCTTCCCCCTAAGACCCTGCCTCCTGGCCAGGTCAGAAGCCGAGCTCCGATAAGAACCGCCCAGGGAGCCCGGGGCCACTGCAGGGAGCCCCGACCCTCTACCTGCCCTGGGCAGGGGTACTCAAGAACATCCCCTGGCCTGTATGCCCATCCCCCAGGGTAGGTGGAGGGTCTGGGGCTCCCCACTGCAGCCTGGGCTCCCTGGGTGGCTTTTATTATGACCAGGATCTAGCTTCAGCCAGGCCAGTGGGGAGGGGCTCAAGGGAAGCGGGGAGAAGAGGAGGAGCGGGGGCTCGTGGCCAAGAGGGGCTAAGGCCCACCTCAGCCCCGCCCACAGGCAACAGGCTGGTGCTGCCCCTGAGCCTCAGGCAGGTGCAGAGCCCCGGCACAGGGAATCCGGGACAAATAGTGTCACGGAGACATTCAGCCCAGGACCAGGACTTGAACTCTGCATTTCAGGACTGTCCTGCCCAATTCGGGATGGATGGTCATCCTGCCCACCCCCCACTGCTGGTTTGGCCATTTCTAGGGGAACAAATCATAGAATCATAGAAGAAGAACAGAATCATAGAAGATTAGGGTTGGAAGAGACCTCAGGAGGTCATCTAGTCCAATCCCCTGCTCAAAGCAAGAGCAACTAAATCATCCCAGCCAGGGCTTTGTCAAACCTGGCCTTAAAAACCTCTAAGGATGGAGATTCCACCACCTCCCTAGGTAACCCATTCCAGTGCT